CTCAGAAAATATGTTTAAATGAAATAAATAGAGCAAAGATGAGTAGAAGAGATGAAGAGCAATTTCACATAGAAGCAGAACACTTTTAGTAGTCGAATAGCCAGTTTCTAAATTATGGAAGTGATAATAAAATTGTTGGCTGTAAGTGTCTTTCAACCAACTCAGTCAATGGAAAGAGATTTTTCTGGAAGCTCTCCTAAAAACATTGCCCTTTCTCTTCACTGTGGCATGCTGCATTTGGATGTTGTGACTTGCACGATTGCCCCTTTTTTCCTTCCTTCCCTCCTTCCTTCCTTCTTTTCTTTTCTTTTTCCCCCCAGACCAGGTTGTAGAGAGAGAGACCATGCATGATTACATCAATCAGAAACGGCATATGTTCTTGCTGCAGGTATTTCATTTTGTTCCATCAGTTTGAGATAGTGAAGAGGAGCCTGGGATCTGAATTAGGGACAGCTGGGGGGGGTGGTGGTTGTCTTTTTTGGTCATCAAGTTGACTTTTTTGGTCATCAAGGTCATCAAGGGCCTTGGGGAGACTATTCCTCCCAACCAAATTATTGTGAGGATAAAATGGGAGGTACCCACACCAGTCTGATTCTGAATGCTTTGAAAAAGGAAGGACTGATTACAAATGCAGCAGTAGATGGTGTTGCTTCATTGCAACTTGACAATAGCTTTTAACGAGAGGAATCATTTCAGTAAATTGCCTGGTGGAAGATGCTAGATGACTTATGCCATGGCCTTCTCTGCTTATATAAGTTCTGATGGGGAAATACATGGCCACGTCCCATTTATAGCCATAGCATATTTTCCCAGGTCTAGGAATAGGTGTGTTTTGTCTGCATGAATTGTATAGCTATATAGCAGTGGTGGCGAACCTATGGCACAGGTGCCAGAAGCGGCACTCAGAGCCCTCTCTGTGGGCACGCGCACCGTCGCCCCAGTCAGCTGGGTTTTATAAAACTTTTTCGCTTTAGGCCTCTGCCGCCGTGTACAAAAAAAAAAAAAAGGTTCAATCAATTTCAACTTCTCGCGGGAAAAAAAAGATCTTGCAAAGTTGGAATTGATTGATTGGACTTTTTAGTCCCACCCAGTCTGCCGTTACCACCGCAGCCATGCCCAGCCAATGGGCCACGCTCAGCAATGGGCCACACCCAGCCAATGGGCCACACCCACCCGGCACTCGACGATGCATAAGCAGGTTTTGGGTTGCAGTTTCGGCATTCAGTCTCTAAAAGGTTCGCCATCACTGCTATATAGAGAAACACAGATACAGATACATCTTAGCGTAGCTATTTATTTATTAAATTTCTGAACCACCTATCTCCCGTAAGTGTCTGTTAACTGTTATCTATCTTTAACAACATATCTGTTAAAAAAGGGAAAGATAGAAATCATTTGACAGTTTGGGGGGTAATAGCACTTGAAGTCCGTGAACTGAAAAGAGACATTTTGGGGCCTCCCTGTCTCAATCACTTTTGGCTTTTACATTTCAGTATGCCGTAACTGTGAAAAAAGATGAAATTCAGAAACTGGAAAATCTGGCTGTGGAAGAAGAAGCCAAGCTGGAAAAAGCTGAGGAAGATTTGGAAAAGGACGCCGCCATGTTTGATGAGTTCCTGAAAGAGAATGACAGAAACTCTGTCCAAGCCCTGAAAATGTAACACTCAACTACAGGATCGATGCTGTAGCGTTCATAGAAAACTCAAGTCCTGGGGAGGTCCTACAGTTTTCAGTAGGAGACATGGAATCAGACACCAAGGGTTGCAGTAGCTTCCTACACACATATTGAAAAAAAGGGCAGTTGGTTTTTTTTGGGAGGGAAATCTCCCAGGGCTACAGAGGGCATGGTAGGGCATGATATCAGAAGGGGAAGAATTGCAATGTTGGCTTGGTTTCCCCCCCCTATAGTTTTTGTAGGATTAAAATCTTTAAGAAAATAAAATCATAGGCACACACAGGCAGACAAAGGATAAAATATCTGACACATCATTTTCATAACTGGTCTGAAAGGGATGGTCAGAGATGCTTGGTGAACTAAAGAAGTGGCTTAAGTGACGCTCACCTTCTATCTTCAGACTGGAGAACAAATTATTTCAGAAATGACATCCTGACTTTCTAGTTTCAACAAAACATGGCAGTTTCTGGAGAGAGAGGGGGGGGGGAGAGAGGGAGAGGGAGAGAGAGAGGGAGAGAGAGAGAGAGAGAGAGGGGTCTGTACAACTTCAGCATGCTATAGGCAGTTAAATCATACCTCTTGAGCATTCTGCCTCTAATACTTTCATTGGAGATGAACCTGCTAGAGTTTCACATGCTTTGACAATGATTCAGAAATGCTTCACACCATATATCCCTGTAGCAAACCGAGATTGTGTCAAAAAAGGAAACACAGAGTGATCTCATCAGACAAATCCCACCCTTGCATTATTGCATCCCAGTGTCTAATACAGGTATGCATGTCAGGGGTTTTATATCATAGCTCAGAGTTATTCACCTTGACTCTCCTGTAGACCCTTGTGCTTCAGATCTCACCAAGTGCAGCATCTCTCAGCTATCCCTTAAAGAACTCAAAGGCTACTCAAACTTCTGCCTAGCCCTGGGGAAAAAAATACTGCTGCTTTAAGAAATCCATTCAGACTTAATGCAATTCTTCATGGAATTCATAACAGAGATTTGATTTATTTGTAAAATCTTTTCTACTGGGATTCAGATGCCAAATAATTCATGAGTATAATTATGTCTAAACTATACTTTCTTCTTGTATAAGAAACGCAAGAAAACCCACCTACTGATATTTTTAAACAGTTACAAAACCTCTAGATAATCTAACACCAAGCAGTTAAGCTTCCTACAGCTAGTTAGGGTCTTTTACAGGGATATCTTCCACTTCCCACCCAGACCAGCATAACTCTTTTTCCATTATTAAAAAAAAAAGCTCATGGTGAAGTTCTAGAATTGAATCTATGTTGACAGATTAGGAGCGCTACCTTATCTGTTCCCTAAATAACATGTAGGCTGTCAACCCCACACCTTAAAGAGTTTACCAGACAGAAGTCAAAAAGTCCAAAAGAAATTCACAGGTAGATGAAAGTTGCAGTAAAGCACTATGGAGTGGTATATGAATCTAAGTGCTATCGCTATGTGATCCTTCCACAGTTGATCATGAAAAAGAGGATCACCCCACTATTGTGTCATTTAATACAATGAGTCAAATCAACTTGATTGAGAACCATTACATCCTATATATTTTTCAGCCAAATTCCCAACCAATATATGAGTAGAGACAAGAAGGAAAGCACTGGGGGGAGGAGAGAAATAGAATAACACCAGTTTATATCTCCTTAGCCATTGTCTGGCTTTTCATAGTGGCCTAAAACCTTGAGATCTTTCTTAATTCTGATATCACTAATCCCAAGTCATACTCTGTAGGTAATTTCTGTCTTTATTTCTTCTTTCTTAGTGCTGAAAAAGAAACCAAAGCAAAACTGGAGAAAATAATTGAGATCCGAGAATTGACAGCGCAAATGATGAACATCCAAAGGTAGCAGTTACAGAAGATATAATCCAGGGTATATTTTCCTTCCTCCCTGTTTCCCTTTCCGGGATGTCCCAATACGGTTAAAAGTACACTAGTTCTTTAGATCTTTATAACATGCTAAATGCTTTGGCTTGATGTTATAAATTATATGCCTGAGTTATGGGTAACAAGGTTTTATAGGTTTTCATTTGTTTCTCTCTCCAATGAATTTTACATTCATAGATTGCTAAAAATATAAATTTCCCCAAAGATAACAATGTGGCTATTTCAACCAAGAATCCAATAGAACCGTGGTGGCGAACCTATGGCACGCGTGCCAGAGGCGGCACTCAGAGCCCTCTCTGTGGGCATGTGCGCCCTTGCCCCAGTCCTAGGCCTTCAGCTGGGTTTTATAAAACCTTTTCGTTTTAGGCCTCCACCGCCGTGTGCAAAAAAAAAAAGGTTCAATCAATCAATTTCAACTTCTTGCGGGGAAAAAAAATCTCGCAAAGTTGGAATTGATTGATTGAACTTTTTAGTCCCATCCAGTCTGCCGTTACCACCGCAGCCACACCCACCCAATGGGCCACACCCACCCAATGGGCCATGTCCACCCGGCACCCAACGATACATAAGTGGGTTTTGGGTTGCAGTTTGGGCACTCGGTCTCTAAAAGGTTTGCCATCACTGCAATAGAATGAACCTGCCTATGTAACATTTGGGAAGATGTAAAGGAATGCTTTGGAATGCGTTAAAATGAAAAATGAAAATTACTATTGTTTTTCTAACCCAGTATTAGAAAAAACAAATTAGACCTGCCACAGGAATTATTTTAAAATAAAACACTCCCCTGAAAAACTAATAGTGCCTTTGCCTCCATGGTTGTTGCCTAGAAATAATTAATTAAATTGATCAGTTCATCAAAATCAATTAAAATTTCATTTAAAAGATAAGGACAGAATAGAATAGAGCTCAAGCAGGAGAACCTATACCATATACTTCCTTGAGTTAAGTTTGACTTTGGATGATTACATAGATGCAATAATGCTGTTTCCTTGGCAAGAATATGAAACTAGTTTTCCATTATGTTTTCCACAATGGGCTTTTTTTTTTTTTACTGCTGCTCTGGGATTTAATGATAGCCATTTAAGAGAGTCATTTTAGTCCACAGGTGTCAAACTCATCACGTCACATGACGTCTTGCGACATATCGTGACTTTTTTCGCATTTCGAACTGGGGTTTGCGCAGCCTCTGCATGATGCAACCGGCCCATGGGCCGGCAGTTTGCCCCCCCTGTTTTAAACAGTCATCTAACTACTTACCAAGTCTGACCTTGATGACTTGGCAAGGTCAGCTGGATGCTGCCACCTTGTGGGACAAATTTCATTTAGCCTTGTCTGAATCCTTTCTTTGAAGACAGAAGAAAAGGGAGCCAATGGAGTCACATCAGAGGAATCAACATTAGGTTAGCAGTATGGGCCCACAAAGTAAATAGCACCAGGAGAGAAATGGGGTTTTCAATAGACCAGATTCTTCTCATGACCAATCCACAAATCCAATCACCCATCAATATGCCATACGCTTTTTATGAAGATGTCCTAACGTCAGGCAATATAAAATTATTGCTTATCTTCCACCAAAAGAGTCAAGCATTCATAGTAAAATTAAGGGATATTTTTAGGGCTTCCACTTACCCTCACCCTTTCCCCAAATAATAAAGAAGCAGTGCTCAGCAAACCTCAGCAGTGGCAGCAATGTCTGGCTGACCTTCTCTGGATTAGAAGCTCAGAGAGTCAGGTCTGGCAGTTACTTGGATGAGAGCCCACCACAGAAGATTAAAGCTGCAGGCTAGATTGGGAAGCTGAAAAACATCCTGGAAAAAATATATATAGCATGGATGTGTCTATCAAGTCACCAGGAGATGAGCTAAACTTTAAGATTTTCTTTTCTTCCTAAGCAACAACATCTAGCCTGTTCTTCTATCTACAGCCAAATGGCTTCCAGAATAGACCAATAAATTTATTGGAGCACATATAACAGCAATGTATAGTTAGGCCAAGCTATTGTTTGGCAACCAACTTCAAACTAGGGTTTCAGGTTCTGAATTGCCATCTGCAAAACATTGTTTATGTTTTGTCAAAGGATGCCGGTGTTGAGTATCACAACAAAACAGCTTGATTTTGTAAATACAGTACAATATTATAACTGAGCTGTCCTTATAGAGGTCTTCTATTCTGAAACTATACATGATGCTCTTGCAGGGGACTGGGGGAGTCTTCATCTTTCTAGGTCAGAGAACACGCCAGGTGTTGCTGAATGACATCCTGGCATCTATCACCTGTAGCTACGATAACCAGTGCTCTCTTTGCAGATCATGAAGATTTTATCTGTTCCTCCTTTTTTCTTTGGTAAGGAATGTAAAACATTGCAGCAGATTTTTGCTTGGAGAACTGGTTCCCTTGAGTGATTGTTTTCTGGTTAGTGGTGTTGCTAAGTATTTCTTCTCCCCCTTTTTGTAGGAAGTAAGGTTGAAAGGATTCTTGAGGTTGTCCTATCCCAGCAGCCCCCAACATTCTGTTTCTGGTGCTTTAGGTTTTCTTGTTGTTAGTTGCGAAGTCGTGTCCAACCCATCGCGACTCCATGGACAACGTTCCTCCAGGTCTTCCTGTCATCTACCATCTTCTGGAGTCCATTTAAGCTCACGCCTACTGCTTCAGTGACTCCATCCAGCCACCTCATTCTCTGTCGTCCCCCTCTTCTATTGGCCTCAATCTTTCCCAGCATTAGGCTCTTCTCCAGTGAGTCCTTCCTTATCATTAGGTGGCCAAAGTATTTAAGTTTAGAATATCTCTTTTCCACTCCAGCTACTGTAGCAACATAAAGTCATGCTTGTAGATGCCCCAAAAACATCTGGTTGCAAAATTGCCAGTATGCTACATTTTTACCATCACAGTTAGCAAGAGGTGTTTAAATGCAACACAAAAACTAAGGCTCAGTGTCTTTGTAGCTACGTTTTACAGCAACTATTCAGATGTTTGTGTAGGAAGACAAATGCATTCACAATGTAGTGAAAATGCAGGGCCGGCTAGTAATGTATTCCTTTTCCCATGGTTGGAGATGCTCAAGGACCTGCAGTAGCTTAGGGCAGGCATAAGTTGAATGACTTTTGCACCTACTTTCTGGTCAGCTGGAACAATTATCTGCCCATTCTGAAATCCGCAATGGGAAAGACAGAATGCCAGCTTGAAAATCATTTGGATGGATTGGTCTAAAAAATTTATCATTTATTATCAATTTACTTTCTCTGGAAATCTGTACTTGTTGAGAGGAGCTTTATGCCTACACTAATTTTCCACAACAGTGTCCTTTGGAAGTGCCGGAGAGTAATCTCCATTTGCTCTCGATGCAAAGACTGTTTCTTTTCTTCAGTGAGATAGCCCGGTTTGAGGACACTTTGCAGGAGTATGTGGTGTTCAAGGATTTCCTCTATCAACTGTCTCCCAAAGAATGGCGGGAAGATCATGAAAGACGACGGATGAAAGAAAAGGCGGATAAAGACAATTCTGAGAATAAAGATGAAAAATCAGGACTGTCAAAAGGTAAGCATTTCCATAATCCCAAGACTGTGTATGATTCTCAGATCTGCATAGAAAAAACAATAGGTCTTCAGAGGCCATTACTGAACCTCATCCATCTTCAGAAGAAACCAACCAGGAGGAAAGCCAAACCACATGATACAATGACAGAAAATAAAAATAATAGTACGGAGAACTTCCACACTAAACGGGTAAATTCTACTGTCTTGTCAAATTAATTGGTATTAAAGGTGCTTCCATTTAGCTATCATTGTTCAAATTATACTCCATACATTCATGTTATCCCACTTTTATTTTCTTTCTTTTATATTATTAAAACTGGCTGTGGAGTCCATTTTGAGGCAAAATCAATATAGAGTTATGCTTACATTTTAAAAACAAAGTATTTAAACCAACTTTTTACCACTGCAAACATTTTAAATTTCTTAAGATTTCTTAAGGTATTTCACAACAGTACTCAAATGCTACTCTTGAGTATTTTCTTCTCCTAAAAAGCATTTTGCTTCACATGCACATATATCTATATTGATGAAACAAAACAACCCAATTTTGAGGTGACCTTTGTTCATCCTGTATAATTATAGTATGAATATGTGCTTTCTAAAATGACTGGCTTGTCTATTGATTCTGTGAATTCACACTCAAACCAAGAAAAGAAAATTACTGGTCATTTACATGATACTACTATTGTTTTTCTATTCAGTTTTTCTAGAAGGTAATGAATAAACTCATTTGCCAAAGAATATGGGAAAATCAATGTACCTTTTTGTTTTTTATATCTCATTATGATCTAATAGCTAATGAGTATCTTTCCTTCATGTGTTTGATGTAGGCATTTGTGACTGTTACTAGCTAGTATGGTAAAATATGTCTTATTGTGTCAGACATAATTATAATGTGGGGAATAATAAAAGACTTATGAACCTCTCAAGAGGTCAGAAAGTGAGCAAAATACTGTCTATTTAAAATGATTCAGACACTATTCTCATCATGTTTATTTTATTAATTATTATTTACGTTGCTCTAATTTCCATTTTTCTTGTATTGTTTGCTTATATTTAAAGGGTAACTAATGAGACTAAATAAGGGTTGTAACTTACAAGACTTTGGTCTTTTTCAGTCTTTAGTGTCAAGAAAGATAAATGTATTCTGCAATTGCTTACTGTCAAAAACAATGAGCAACACTGAGGAAAGTGTATGACTGACACAGATTTTCATTATATGATTTTTCTTTCTCAGTACTAGACCTGTATACAGATTTTTTTTAAAAGCGCCCCTTCCCTTCCCTTGATTATGTGCGTTTATTTTTGGAAGAATGAAAAATAGTAGTGATATCAATATTAATACTAATGATTAGAGTTTTATAGAGATATTTAGTTATTTATTTTATTTATTTCTTAAATTTATATGCCATTTATTTTACTGTCAAGCAACTCTTATTTCTTAAAATGATACAACAAACCTAGTTCTACACATTTAATTAATTGAAAAATAATGAATTTCAAATGGTATAATTGTAAATCCTTTATTACTAATATTTTATTCTTCATGCTCTATGACTTTTTCCATTTTTTATAGTATATAGTTATTCGGCTCTTCAAAAGTTTTAAACAAGTACATTATTAATAATGTTAACAAATTATTATATCTGGAGCATGTACTCGTGACAAAATTCACACTTTGCATACCTTATAATATGCACAAAAACACATATTAAGGAACTTTGTCAGGCCCAAAACCAAGAATGACATGTGATGTTTCATCCAAGCAGAGTTCTTTATTGTTTCACAAAATCATACCATACCAAGCACTATACTATCTGTATCTACAATATACTCTGTGAACTATTAGGGAAGGGGCTGTCTTCACTCTTTCTGTCACACATAATATTTGAGCTGAGTTGCCTCTTACTCCTCTAGAATGCACTCCCTCCCTCCTGGAAATCTACCTTCTTACTACACTCCATCACAGATTTACATTAAAAATATATATTTCAGAGGTTATCTTCACAGAGGTATAGATGGGAGAGGTGGGTGTTCTCTTTTCTTTTGGCTGCATTAATAAACTGATGTAGAACCAAACTTTTAGACATTAAAATGAACAAAACCAACAATTGTACCCATTCCTCTTTCTATCATGACTTACCAATAATAGCCTTTTTACCCTTTTCTCTCCCAACAGTAACACTCAAATGAGGATGACACAATTAATGGGCTTTTCTGTATTCAGATTCAGGGAAGGATCTTCAAGATCTTCAAGACAAGGGCCGACGTCAAACAAGAAAACATTCTAGTTTTGACGTGGCTAACATAGAGCCTCCCTCTTCTAGAACACCAAGCCAAGTTTTGTCTAGAAAGGAGTCTTTCAAATTAAGCAGAGTATCTTCTAGGCAGACTCTAAAGTCTCAACAGAGCAGAAAACCGTAAGTATGTCAGGGAAGTGAGTTGGGAGAGACACAGAGAGGAATCAAAATCACCAAAATTAGGTATTAGATCTCACAGGAAAATAATATATTACCTTACAGTAGCACAGCTTTCAAATTACGCCTTTATTTTGTCCTCTCAAATTAGAATAAATGCAAAGATGTAGGATGTATGGAGCACTACATATAAATGCTGGTGGCTTGTGCAAGTCAAACTTTGTATATATTGCCATTTGTATATATACTGTTGTTGTTCGTCCATCGATTTCGATGAAGACCTTGA